CCCTGCTTAGCCGCACGATGGACTGGCGTGGTGCGACGCAACAGAGGCTTTCCGTCTTTATCCATTTCGGGCGCGTCTTTGAAGCCGCTGCGAGCCACAAAATCTATGAATCGTTCCCCTGGTGTCTCGCTGGCGTCTTCATCTGCGCCTGTGACGCATTCCATCAAAAGCCAATAAATAACTTTTTTCCGAAAGAAGTCTAGAAGATTTGGAAGTTGGCCTTTCCAATTTTTGATGACGGCAACGAGTTGATGAAGAAATTCACGTCTATCCTCTTGAATCTCCCACGCGACATTTTTCGACAAGTACCCGTACATTTCTAAATATTTTCTATTATTATAGCTTACACTGGATTTGTTGTAGGACATGTTTATACGCACTCACGAACACCAAAAAAAAACACTAAAAATTACAAATTTCAATTTTTTTTCGCTAATTTAAAAACACGTGTCGATGAGACCTATTTTAGGTTGTGTATTCTTAAGGCGACTTGAACGACTCAACATGTAGAGTTAAACTGCTTAGATGCTATTAGATATTGAAGCTTGATGCCTTTCCAAGATAAAAGAGAAAGTTAGGCAGGAAGTCGGAGCGTTCACATTTCGGAATGATGAATATTAGGAATTATGAATATTCGGAACGTGTTCCGCTTTCAATATTCCGATTTTCAAACATTTCGAATATTACACATTCCGAATATTCATAATTCCTAATATTTATCATTCTGAAATGTGAACATGGCTCTTAAATTACATACCCATTAGCCAGGGCGCCAGCTATGGGTCGAGTATGCATTTTTAGATCCATAAGGTAACCAAAGCTTTTTATAGGTTTTTTGGTGTGATGAATCGATTTAGCTTGGTTGCCAAGCGTTAAAATTGGTATTTTAAAAGTTATTAACAAATTTATTGTTTATAACTAAAAAAATTTGTTTAAAAAAATCTGAAAAAATTCACACGTATTCTTTGACTAATTCTAAGACTATTTTGTTCTTTGCATTTTTTCGTTTTAGGCGTTCCTTACCGAGCTAGAAAATTGCAAAGTTATTTTTTTACGCACGAATTTGTTCAGAAACCATTCATATTTTCAATCTTTGCGATTTTCTAACTTGTTAAGGAACGTCTAAAACGAAAAAATGCAAAGAACAAAATAGTCTTAGAATTAGTCAAAGAATACGTGTGAATTTTTTCAGATTTTTTTAAACAAATTTTTTTAGTTATAAACAATAAATTTGTTAATAACTTTTAAAATACCAATTTTAACGCTTGGTAACCAAGCTAAATCGATTCAGCACACCAAAAAACCTATAAAAAGCTTTGGTTACCTTATGGACTTGAAAATGTATACTCGACCCATAGCTGGCGCCCGGACTAAAATTGGTTGGAGCTGATCTTGGTTGGTGGGAGCATAGCTCTGTTACTGAGCGGAGGGCCAAAGATATATCCACTGTATCTGCACGATCGGTTGCGACGAGTCGGGTGAAAAAGCTAGAACAGATTATTAGTTATTGTCTCGATAATAAGTTTCAATCAAAAAACTATTTATTGTATATAAACGTTATATTTTTTTTTTCACTTTGAGTTAATGAAAATATTTTAAATTGACAAACAGATATTGTTCTTCAAATTATTGTCATCCAGATGTCTCTTGAGACCTTTCTTGCTTGATTCCAATGCTTCATGATAGTACCCAGAAAGCATTGATTACTTTTATTTGATTTATATAAATTGAGTTTTTTTTTTAGATAGAAAATTATGTTTCAATTGATGTTTGAAAATAATGTATGCTGAGGTAATATAAATTTTTCCGTTTAATAAATTAGAAAATAATACCATTTGTGAACACAACAGATGGAGTCCACAATGCCTGGTGTCCATATCGGTATAGCTCCGGCCCAGAAGAATACAATATTATTTACATTTCTCATCTCTTTTAAAATGGTATACATAAAAATCGAGTCATTCCAAAGTTTATCTATTGGAGAATTCATCGGTTTTGGTAACTAGTTTTTTAATTTGATAATCTCGGTGAAGATACGATTGACTTTTTTCATATTACCGAAAAATATCCATCTACGAACTCATTTGGTGCTTATTCGATAAAACGTGTATAGAGATAATAGTCATCGATAAAATCGATGCATACTATGAATCATGAAAAATACATTGCATCGACGATGAGTAACTGCACTTATAAATTTGTCCTCGGGCGAGAATTATTACAATTAACGAACATCAAATCTATCTTTCTTCGGTCAACGTGTCGAATTGATGAAAAAGGCGTACGAGTTTGCTTTTATCGACCGCTAAAGGACTCTTCGAACGAGAATTCCTTTGAGAACACGGAGTATTGACAATCGTTTAAAAATGAATCTCTCGTTACTTTACTATTTCTTGCCCGTACGATCTCATCAACGGGATCATCAACGATTTGGATTCAATTATTTGTCGAATATAAAAAACCTCGAGCTGCATCGAATATATACCCACGAACGAAGCGACGAGATAAGAGCAATTTCTACATTAGCGCGTAGGCGATCGAACGCGTTCATCGCTCATTAGCCGCGGTATCTCTTATTGGCCTCTTGAATATTAAACGCTCGGCAGCACAAATACAGGTATATACGAACGTAAGAACTTGCAACGTTCGATATACACAAGCCCACTATACGGAGTGCGCCCCCGAAACTTTCGCAGACGTCGTCGTCGTCGTCGTCTCGAGAGCTTCGAATTCGATAAATCTGCGCAAGTGCGGGGTAGCTGCGAGTACATCCATATCATCGCATATATATATACATGCAAGAGCTGCAGTCCGCAGTCTGTGCAGCTAAGGGCGGCTGCTGCAGCAGCTCTCAGGGTCTGCTCAACGTATAGCCCCCCCGCGACGTAGAGTCCAAATCAGCAGTTTAGGAGCCTGTGCGCGACTATATAAATATATATATTGTTCCAGTGTAGCGTCGTGCTGCACATGCACGAGACGCGTGCGAAAGAAAGTAGAGAGAGTGCATATATAGGTGTAGTGGCTCTAACGATGCCGAACGTGTAAGGAGGTGAAGGTCTCTCCCCTTTCTCTACCTCCTCCGCGCGAAAAAGTATATACACTATTGCAAGCGCGAAAAGAGGCGAAATTCGCTCTCGCCCCGTTGGCATTGGCATAGGCATCGCAATACACGTTCGTATACATATAGTACAATACAGTGTACACACACACGCGCGTGCTCTCTCTCTCTCACTCTCTTTCCCTGGGAGACTCGCATCGACGTTGGTGTGCGTGTGCACCGAGCAGAACACAGTGTGTATTATAACCGAGTGTTCGTGTGCACTGTGCAGTCATCGTCGCGTTGTATAAAGCTCGGACGTGTATAACTATCTCTCTCTCTCCAGTCCGCTTGTGTGTGTGTGGAGGATCGAATTCGAAAGGCAGCTATCTCGCTCCCTCGTGGGTGTGCACAGTGTGAGTGCGTGTTGGTGTGACTCGCTGACACGGCTCTGCATCCGATCGCGTACGCTTACTTACGTTTTCGTGCAGTAAAGAGACAGTCGGATCTCTGTTCGTGTGTGTACGTGCGTGTGTGTGAAAGTTTTTGGCCACATCATTATATCGTATAGCAGCAGAGTCCGTGTCGTCTGTGACTCATCGTTCAATAGTATATCGATAGCCAGCTCGTCGTCGAGCGTAGTATGTCAATCATGGTGAGTTTTTTGTTGTCGTCGTTGTTGTTGCATGTGTTTTTTATTTATATATTGACAAACGTACACATAGCGAGTAGACGAGACGACGTCCGTATATGTGTGTGCCGTTTTATCATATATATCTATATAAAATGCACGCGAACTCCGCACACATCGAGTCCTTGCGACTATCGACTTTTCGGCTGCTGCAGTGTGGTGTATACGCGACGTAGTGTTAGCTATCTTTCGCCTCTCTCTTCAGCCTTCTCTCTCTCTATACCTATGTACACAGTCGCGATGCATATGCGAAGAATCGCGCGCCGATGTTGTGCTATAACTACTGTTACCCTTCGGAGGCATTTATGTGTATTACCACCAGCTACCCTCGCTCGCGACGCGCATTCATCCTTCTGACGAGCTCCCTCGAGTGTCGTCGTGTTCTCTCGGAGGCTCTTTCTCGTCGATGATAAAATAATTGTACCTGCGTGTACTCTCGCTCGTGTGTCGTTTACTCAACGAAATTAATCAACTCGAAAGCCCATAAAAATCAACCCACGTCATTGTCATGTTGCAGCGGATGCGAGCGGTCAAGTGTCCCACGGACGAGCTTAGTCTCACCAACTGTGCGATTGTCAACAAAGCAGACGTACCCGACAGTGTCAAGTTTGTATTCTTCTTTTTTTTTTATCACTCGCTCGCTTTTTTTTAAGAAATTGTGCGATAGAAATACCGTAGGATAAGAATTAAATTTTTTTTTGTTTAATGACGCAACATTCTGATGCAATTTTTCATTATTTTTGAACACCGCGTAAATACTCGTGACTAATGATATTTTTCGTGCGAGTAAAACTCTTGAAACGTAAATTGTTTATATTTAGATTCGAAATTGTGTCATTTGGAAGTTACTCTGTAATTTATGGAAATCAATACAATGCAACCTTGAATTGTTTCAGGCTGACATTTACTTCTTACAATGCATTTTACTATTGTATTGTACCGATACAGTTAAATCTCATAAATTATCAATAAATCATTGATATATTTTCAACTTCATTGGAAATAAAAAAAATTTGTTTTTTCTGAATCTAGGCACATTGAAGTCTCTACAGGACCCAATCAACATTATGTTTTTACAATAAAATACTGTCCTCAAATTGACAGAGGCCAAGTAGGCTTCAGTCTTCCACAAAGAAAATGGGCCGCACTATCACTGAATCAAGAAATAGAAGTCAAACCTTATTATTTCGATCCATCATCTGCTTCCGAATTCCTATCCAGTATTACTTTAGAAGCAGATTTTTTGCAAAAGAAGACGTAAGTTATTTCTTTCAATGGATTCAATCAGTTGAGCGATTGTACACTAATACATAATAATTAATAATTATTTATTTTAGCACGTCCTTGGAACCATATGACAGTGAAGCTATGGCTAAAGATTTTCTTTTACAATTTGCTGGACAAGCATTTACTGTTGGTCAACAACTGGCTTATGAATTTCAAGACAAAAAGATGTTGGGCTTAGTTGTCAAATCCTTAGAAGCAGCTGACATACAAGCCATTAAATCTGGTCAAGAAGCTAAGCCAAAAAAGACTAGAATGGGATTATGCCTTGGAGATACAACAATCATGTTTGAAAAAGCACCAAATTCAAGCCTAAACCTCACTGGAACAAAAACTAAAATTGTCAGGCAGTCAATTATCAATCCTGACTGGGACTTCAACAAAATGGGTATCGGCGGTCTGGATAAAGAATTCAGTGCTATCTTCAGGCGAGCTTTTGCATCGCGCGTTTTTCCTCCAGAAGTTGTTATTCAATTAGGTTGTAAGCACGTTAAAGGTATTTTGTTGTATGGTCCGCCTGGTACCGGTAAAACACTCATGGCTCGACAAATCGGCAACATGTTGAATGCGCGTGAACCTAAAATCGTCAATGGTCCACAAATTTTGGACAAATACGTCGGTGAGAGCGAGGCCAATATTAGACGATTATTTGCCGAGGCTGAAGAAGAAGAAAAAAGGGTATTTTAAATAAAACTAATAAATATAAATATATCCGTACGTCTCAAAATCTTTAAACAATGAATTTTTTACAGCTTGGACCAAATAGTGGCTTGCATATTATCATCTTTGACGAAATCGATGCCATTTGCAAAGCCAGAGGTAGCGTGGCTGGTGCAACGGGTGTTCACGATACTGTAGTCAATCAGTTGCTAGCCAAAATTGATGGCGTTGAACAGTTGAATAATATTCTCGTCATTGGTATGACCAACAGACGTGACATGATTGACGAGGCTTTACTCCGACCTGGTCGATTGGAGGTAAGGATACTTATGAAATTCGATTCATGTTTGAAACGAAATTTTTCGTAAAAAATTAGTTCTAAGATTGAATGGTAATTTATTTTAGGTACAAATGGAAATTAGTTTGCCCGATGAGCATGGTAGATTCCAAATCCTCAATATTCACACATCCAGAATGCGGGATTATAAAAAGATCGATTCTGACGTGGATTTGAAAGAGCTAGCCGTTTTGACTAAAAACTTCAGTGGTGCTGAATTGGAGGGTTTGGTACGAGCTGCGCAGAGTACAGCCATGAACCGATTGATCAAGGCTTCGAGCAAAGTCGAGGTCGATCCGGCTGCAATGGAAAAACTCATGGTCTCGCGCGAGGACTTCGTGCATGCTCTTGAAAACGACATCAAACCTGCATTTGGATCAAGCGCCGAATTATTGGATCACTTGCTTACCCGTGGTATTATTAACTGGGGCAAACCCGTTGCCGACATACTTGCCGACGGCAATCTGTATGTTCAAGAGGCGCGCTCGGCCGAAGGCTCGGGACTCGTTTCGATTTTACTCGAAGGACCTCCGAACGCTGGCAAGACTGCACTCGCTGCTCAGATTGCCAAAAATTCCGATTTCCCATTCATCAAGATATGCTCGCCCGAAGACATGGTTGGTTACACCGAGTCCGCAAAATGCTTGTCCATTCGCAAGGTAATGAAGTACCATCGATTTTTAAATTGGTATGAAACCATGATTTTACGAATTTACATAATCATGCGTTATATTTTATAATTTCAGATATTCGACGATGCATATCGTTCGCAACTTAGTTGCATATTAGTCGATAATATCGAGCGTTTACTCGATTACGGTCCAATTGGACCTCGCTATTCTAACTTGACGTTGCAAGCTCTTCTTGTTTTGTTGAAAAAATTGCCTCCCCGGGGTAGGAAATTACTCATTCTTTGTACCACCAGTCGTAGGTAAGAATCAATTACAAAAATTTTGTACTGCATAAATCGAACGGTACCTCTGAGAATATTACTAATTTTTTCATTATTTACTGCAGACAAGTACTGGAGGATATGGAGCTTATTACAGCTTTCAGTACAACTTTACATGTACCGAATTTATCAACACCAGACAACTTGATGGCAGTACTGGAACAAGTTGAACTGTTTTCAAAATCGGAAATGGCACATCTTCATGCAAAATTGCAAGGCAAAAGGTAAAGCTACATTTATTATTTGGACATAAATAACTTTACCATTCAAACATAATTTTAAGTTATTCTATCGGAGTTTCTACATAACATAAATTTCGATACCAATTTTTTTAACATTTCATGTTTCTCGGAATATGCAGAAACTTGGTTTTTCCAAATCGAAAAGCTAAGATAACGAGGAAACAAACGCCCAAGTAATAATTAACTAAAAATCTTCCAACTAGTGAACATTTAAATGATAGAAGCTTTTGAAATTGTTATTTATTCCTCGCGCGTTATTGCTGTATGCCCTTTTAACTTATCTGTGCAAACATGATTTCTAGAATTGCAATTTTGAACGTTACTGAAAATATTCATTAGAGTAATGAATAAACAAGAAATGTAAATTTTGAGCATGAAATAATTAGTACCCGCAAACGTATAAAAAATGTGGAATGTTTTAGCTAAGTTTGGAATAACTGCAATTGAATTTTTTTTTAAGAATATAATGTAATTTTTTAGTTTTTATCAACTTGCTCAACTTGCTAGAGTGTTTCCCAATAATCAAAAGATTCTTTCTTGTGAAATGAACTCTTTTGAAAGTAACTAAACATTTAAAATTACACGTGAAACGCTCTTTTATGTTAAGCGTATAATGTACATAGTTACTTTCAATCAGTAATGGAATTTTACCTATCAATAATAAATATATTATTACTTTTTTCAGAATATTCATTGGTATCAAGAAGTTACTAGGACTTATTGATATGGCACGACAAGTAGAACCAAACTACAGAGTTATTAAATTCCTCTCAAAATTGGAAGAAGAAGGAGGTCTTGAATAAACTGTACTTATCATATCTATATCCTACTTAGTATTTAATTTAATGACAACATTCATTTTATCAAAGTCAAATCTATCTAGTTATATTAGTAAGACTGCAATGTTTGATGAAATAGAAGATAACTTTGGCTTCATATGAAAAATATAGTTATATTTATTATTTGCGATTGTAATACAATTCTTTTACTGCGACATTCAAGATGACAATTTTATGAAAATATCAATTAATGGCTTGTTATAATTAAAATGAAATTTTATTAAAGAAGACGACGATGTTCTTAGTATCGTAACTTATAACTTGATATTATTCAAAAAATAATTTTAACTTGTTTTATAAAAATTCATTTTGTACTAAAATATATGTTTATTTGTAATTTTATTAGAAGAATTTTGATTTTCTTTATTGCTAATTCAGGAATGAAAATAAACTTGTTGATCAAGTCTTTGAGTGAATAGATCTCTTGTATAAATATGAATATTAGTTTATAAATTGTGCGTGTACAGCGTTGATTATTATTATTAGCACGATTTAAAACTTATGGCACTTTTAAATTTATATACTTCACGGTTTCTTTTGATCTTCAGTTATCGAAGAACAATTCTAGAAACTTTTGCTGAAGTACCTTTCATATGATGTATGAAATGAGTACAATCCCGAATTGGTAATACAAAGTATTTTGAAACATGAAAAATAGATAAACACGTTCCAAAAATGTTACATATAATATGCTATAATCTATAAATTAATAAATAGTGACTTATACTACATAAAATGAAACAGCTATTTAAGAATAGCTTTGGAAAATGTTTTGAGGACGAGAAAATTTTGCACGTCAATTTGTTCAGTATTTTTACTTTAAATGTTCTTATAGAACATCGACGTTGATATAAATAATTATCCGAATATATTTATTTCCTTAGGTATAAAATGATACTCCAACATTCTTGCCACCTGAAAAGTTATTTTTTTATTCATCACATACCATGTCAATTCTTAAAACACAAAGCAAGTTTATAAATAGAAGTCTGTGTTAGTTATAAAAAGTGATGAATATATTCCATTATCAAATGAAAATTTGATATATTAAGTCATTCCACTAGTAAATTATACGAAGTTATTTTCAATTAAGTTTTCCAATGTTCTACCATGCACTCAATGTTTTCAACAACCAATACGATTTGATTTTATATAAAACATGAAGTGAACAAGTTTACAGAAAATACTAAATTTTCCTGAGATTAGTTGATTTGAAATTGTTAAAAAAAAAAAAAAGAATATCTTGTCAAATAATTCATGTAAAGGGAATTAATTTGTTGCTGATTTGTATACACTTTTATTGTATACAAGTTCGAAAATGTACTCATCGCTGCTAGATTACATTAATAAATGTCTACATAATTAATACGTCATCATTGGTGTTTTTATTTTAATAAAAAATTTTTTATATAAAAAATATTTTTTTATCAGTTTGGACTTAAGAAAAGTAAAAAAAAACATTTTAACTGATATTAAAAATTTTTTATTTGCGTAATAACTCTGTTGATCTTTATCAATAATACAGTAATATGGCACATTAAGCACTACTTCTTTACAGACCTTTTCAGTTTATGTCAAAATTTGTAGAACCTTTTTTCATCATTATTTCTTTAGTTCAAATATTTACCGCAAGAATTAATTACAGTAAAGCCTTAAATATTTCGACAATACATTTGAACATTTTTAAGTAACGAACCGATTCAATGAATATCCAAACATTTTCAAAACGGTACATAACACGTAAAATGATATTTCAATTGGGTCAAGGTTAAATTATTATGAAAATATTTTAATAAATCATTTTTGACAGTTGATACAACTTCACATAAAAATTTCTAACTTTAAAATTAAAAATGATTTTTTAAATATTCACTAATACTGGTCTTAGATTCGCGTTTTTTTAGGAAACGTTATGCAAAACTAATATTAAAATAACAAATGCAAAGTAAGGGTGTCCAACGTTCGTTTATACTGTCACAATTTTTAATTGCCCGCGTCGTATTAATATAATCATTCACGGCAATTAAAAATAACATAATTTATCGTTTCTTTCATGGATATGACATTAAAATATACAAATATATAACATAACAAAAAGTAGTTTGTTGTTAGATTTGTGATGAGAAGTTTTTTCATCACCGTAAAAGTAAAACTAAGCCAAACAAAAATTGTTTAAGTTATCAAACTTTCAAACTTCATTGCAACAGCTTTGATGATAATAAAAACTCATACTTCTACCTAAAATATCATCAAACATGAAAAATTAAATTTTTTACGCATATAGCTTTGATTTAAATTGGTGACTGGTAATTAAAAATTGAATTAATTCACTTTTCTTTTAACAAGGAAACTAAAAATTTATAGAAGTTTCAATATATATTCAAACCGTTCAAACTTACAACTAATCATATACACATTATTTTTGTACATCTTTGTTAAACGTAGAGAAAATTTACAGTAACAATTTTCTGTCACATCTCAGTACAAGTCTTTATATGTACAAATGATTATGAAGATCGATGTAAATCATGATGGCTTACATGGCGAAAATTTTTTGTTATTAGTTAATGGATTTTTCCATATTAATCTACTACTTTGCCGAATGTTACTAGTTTTATTTCGGTTTTGACTAGGTATTTCAATGATTTCTTGCTCTTGCTCTTGCTCTTGCTCTTGCTCTCGCAACTGTTGGTACATCTCTGCTTCTTCCTCTTCTTTTCTCTTTTCTTCTGGAAAATAATCATTATATTTTCGTTTTATTTTATTATATGACTTGAATTATTTGAAATGTTAAAACGGAAAAAGAATGAAATTGACTTTTTTAAAAATTTGTTAGTAATTATTAAAATGTTACTTTAGTTGTTATAATCATGCCTCAAAACTTTGACAAAAAAAACGAGTTTTCACTATCATATTAGTAGTAATTATTATCTAATTTATATTTGTTATAACGAGTTAGAATGGCATATTTATTTACTTATTAATTTCAACTACCCACACTTGAATAATTTTATAAACTAAAAATACTTTTTGGACTATAAAATGACGCATTTTTTTGATAAGAATACCATTAGATTTTTAGACCAAATACATTCTGTTTGACTATTGCTATCTGTAATTTAAAATTGAAAAAAGAATATCATTGCATGACTAAAGTTAATTTAAAAACATTGCAGAACCATATAAAAATTTATCGTGATTTTAACTTTTTGAACAAATTATGCATCAAAAATATTTTTAATTATTCATAAACTAAATAATTGGTATCAACCAAAATTTATTATTCAGTATTTTCAAGTAACAAAAAAAACGTGAAATAATTTATTCAATTTTTTCACTGTAGAATAAATAATCTGTAGAACATAATACTACTAGTTAAAGTAAGTTCTTACCATTTAATTCTCTTTCTGTGTAATAAATTTGATCATTTTTGGTCCCATAGTGATGATCTAATAGATAAGGTAAGACAGTCATAGTGTGCCATTCATCTCCTCTAAGAGGTGGAATAGGTACAAATTCCGAAGTTTTTTGTGGGCATGTCAATGTCCATTCATGGCATCTCACTTGTTGTAGTGTAAATCTATCATCAATTTCTTTTTGCAACATTCCAGTTAATAATGTCCTTAAGGAATCTTCCACTTCTTCAGGAATAGTATATTCACCTTTGCCAATATTCTCATATAATCTGTAAATATTATTACCTTCAAATGGATAGAGCCCTGTTGTTATATTGTACCTGAAATTTTATAATTATTTTATTGTAACTACAAACAAAGAGATTATGTGATAAAAAAATCACTTACAAAGTAACTCCACTGCTCCAAATATCTACTTTAAAACCAGCAAATGATTCACAACCATTTGCGATTTCAGGTGGTTGAAAAGCTGGAGAACCTTGACCAGTTGTGCATGTATCATCTTCAGCAAACATGTCAAGGGCCTGCAGATGGTTTTAATAATTAGTTTTCAAAGTTAATAATTTTAATTATTTTTCAACTTCTATACTGATTGATTATCATTCAAACAATTACCTCAGCTACTCCAAAATCACTAATTTTTAAGGTACCATCAAGTGTTAAAAGTAAATTTCCAGGTTTAATATCCTTGTGAATAATACTTTTACCGTGTAGATATTCCAAACCATCAAGTAATTGACAAAAATAATCATGGGCTTGCCATAGAGGAAACTTTTTTAACGGTGTACTGTCTAACATATCCTGAAGATAAAAAACAAATTTATTAATTGATCCTACAAAGAAATAAATTTTAAATAATTTCACATAAAATACATACCTGTAGTACGCCCACACAGAACTCCATTATTATGTACATCTTTTCTTTTTCGTCATTATAAAGAACATCAACAAGTTCAATAACATTTTTATGCTTTAACATCTTCAACAGCTTAATTTCTCTGCAACAAAAATAATACTGTATTATAAAAAAGTTTTCATCAAAATAGTGAGTCGTAAGCAAACGACAAATTCATGAGAGATTCTTATGAATAAAATTGTAACTAAATTAAATACAATAGAACTTTGTTAAATGTCATGAATAATTGAGAGCGATGAATCATCGTGCCCATTCGCTTTTTATCTTCAGAAAATCTTTAAACTTTCAAAAGTCTCACCTTTGAACATTCGATTCGCCATTGGGTATTCTTCTGAGCTTTTTTTTCTTGAGAATTTTGACAGCTCTCCTGCAGAGCGTCACGGAATCCAGCATCTCCTTGACTTTGCCGTAACTACCCTCGCCCAAGAGATCGCCCATGACGTACTTGCCGATAAACTTGCACTTTTTCTTCTCCTCGTAGATGATCTGGTCGGAATCCACGCGATGAAAGAACGTGTTTACGTCCTCGTATTCGCGAGGATTCCAAGCTGTCGGATCGAGATCGGCGAAAATCTCCGTGTCGATCACCTCGTCCTCGTCTGGGTCGTAAATTTCCATGACCAGTTGTTGCGATCCTCCAGTTATTTTCCGTGTGTGCGCGCGGACGACAATAATGATTTCGGGCTTCGAAGGTTCGTGCAGCCCCCGGGACCCGGGCTGGACTCTCGCTCGTATACACACACAGCAGCAGCAGCGAGGATGTTTTTTTTTCCGATCGGTCCTCGTCGCGGACTGACGTTTTCGGAAAGCGACGACGACGACGATGATGGCTGCGCTGCTTGACGTTGTACACACTACTGCTGTTATTGTTGTCGCTAACCTATCGCGCGAGTAACGGTCGCGCATCAAGCCGGAAAAGTTGATCAAGCTCACGAGATGTCATAAACTCCATCGCTCGGCGCTTTCTCGGCTTGCACTGCTGCCGTGTGCTGTGCTGCTGCCAGTCCAGCAAGAGCAAGACCGAGATATATATAATAAAAAAAAATACAACTGTACACACACACGCACGACTCGACACTCGAATTGTTATTTCCCTCTCTGCTCGCAGGCCGAGCTTATGTATATGAACCTCCCTTGTGTAGACTTGACTTGTTTCTTGCCTCGCTCGTCACAATTGGCGCCTGCTGCGGTGCAGCAACGCATACCTATTAGCGCAAATATCAAAAGGAGGATTCTATCGATGAGTCTCGCAAAGATTTGGGAACGTTCGGATTGTCATTTCGTCACTTTGGATCAGCGTCAGATTGCACGTTGAATGCATTTTTAAATTAAATGTGAATTATTAACCTTTTCGTGTTCAATTAAAAGGTATGTTCTGTTGGAAAAATAATATGCATACGATCTCATATTGACAATTGCAAATTGTTCTTGTCTTTTGTTGACAAACTTATGAAACGCAAAGAATACCTACATCGTTTTAATGAATTTTTAAAAAATATATTTATTCAACGAAGAGAACACAAACACAGTATTTATATATTATTATTAAATCATTAAAAATCGGTTATCTTAAATTCAGAGCTTCGTACAGAGCTAATAGATCTTCACAGTCGAGATGCTGATTTATTTTATCGCTGCATAGTACGGGTAATTCGATCAATTCGTGGATGATGAACCTGGATGAAAATGATTGACGTTAAATCTAGCTTGGACTTTTTTCGAGTCAACGTAAAGCGAATTTTTGTATTCTCACCGTAGGATAGAATGAATAGTGCAGCTCTTCTTATACGGATCCAAGCTACTATCATCGCAGTAGCTGCTGCAGAGCGATTCTTCGTTGACATCAAAACGAGTCAAAAATTTACAAACACGTAAATCATCTCTCTCTCGGCCATTTCGAAACCTTCTTCGTACTCGATCGTTGTCGTCGTGCCGAAGTCTCAATAATTCGAAACGTTTTCTCGAACGTTCGGATCCTGCCCTTTTTCAATAAAGATTCCAATAATTGTACGTTTCGCGGCACCGAGGAGTTCTGTCATGGTATAACACTGATTTCCTTTTTTCGACGAAACTACGTGGTAAAAATGAAACGAGATCATTCGATTTACAATTATACTGGAGAACTGAAAATACGTGACAATCCAAATTGAACAAGTGCCTTTCTTCACTCTTTAGCTTAATTTTGTTTACATTATTGTGATTGCTTTGCTAACAATAGAATTCAGCAATTGCACGGTAAATACTTATGATATTAAAAATGTTGAGAATTATCTACCAATTTCATTTTCCATACGGTTTTGTTTTAAACACATTTGACGACGATGATGATTTTCAATCGACCTTTCTACTGTAAATAACATGATAATTTACTTCACATGATTTAAGAGGTGTATTTTTGTACAAAGTAGGCTTATTCACATAATTCAGACACATGATTAATATATAGATGAAAAAAATAACAAGGTGAAAAGTAGAAGATCAAATTTTTCAGTTTTGTGCATTTTTATTTCTTTTGAATATTTACAAAATATTTACAAAGATTTACAAATATTTGCATTTCATTCGCAGATGATAAAGAGCAAGGTAGTCTATTATACAACTGCAGTTTTAAATCCAAATGTCAAATTACTCAGATCATACAACATCATCAAAGTACAATAAACTGTTTGAATTTGATAAAATGATTTATTAGCTTACGCTAGAATTATCACTTTTGTATGATGCTTCATTTCTTCTTTTGAATTTTTTAGTTGGTAGATCACTGCGATCTGTACAATTTTCTTTTTGCTCTGGCAAAATTTCTCTCGCTCTTTTTTCTGTACATCTAGAAGAACTTGGAGTAGTATCTATGAAAAAACCTAAATTTATGGTATTTTGGTTTCCATCAGATAAATTAGCATGTTTTACATCGCTTTTGTTTGAATTTACATGCTCCTTTGTGGAATTTTTTGTTTGGTTTTGAGGTGATGGTAAAACTAATGAAGTATGTAAGTATGCAGTTGAAATATCTACAATCAAACCAGTAGAACTGTTGCCTCTGGTTTGATCAGATGAAAAACGATTCAAATGCGCAAGATTGGTTTGTGATCTTTTTATGGGATCAAAAGGATCATCGATTCCAAGTTTTTTACATAAAACAGTAGTTTGACGGTTGATGACCAAAATAGGTGGCTGAGCAAATCCTGTAGGATACTCAGTGTGCTGGAATGGCCTTACAGTTTGTTGAAAGTTTTGTGGCACGCTCAAGTCATTATTAAATTTTTCAAGAATCGTTTCCTTTTGTTCTTTAGTTGGTGTAAAATTTTGTGATTCAGGCAAATAACACCAGGCATCTCTAACACTTAATAAATTATTCGTCAAGAATAATATAGTGAGCCACTCGATATCATAGGAAATTGTAAGAGGTAAACTTTGATCATGCTCTATGTCTATGAATTCAAAATAATCTCTTTCTTTTACTTGACGAGGTCTGTAACTTCTTCTATTGCCTTCACAGTAATCTCCACATTTATCCAATGACATAAATTGTGTTGTTTTAGTTTTATCTTCATTACAAACAGTTGCCTCAAATTTACAGTGCAAATGAGCAGCGAACCATTTTGATGGATAAAGTTTTTTCATTACTTCATCCAACAGTGGGCTTCCAAGCTGTTTTCTTGATATATCTTCTTTGAAAAATGGCTT